TGATTTGAGAACTACGCATTGCTATTCGTATTCCAGCAATCTAAAAAAATTATGCATTGTGATTTGTATTCACGCGATTTAAAAATTCAAAATCGCAATTTGGATTTTCGCATTTTTAATGTCGCGATTCCTGTAATAAGTAATGTTTTTTCTTGAATTGATCGCTATAAAAGTGATATTCTTCTTTAGTAGATAATATAATTATAAATGTTAGTTCAAAAAATTATGTTAAATACTCTATATATTGATATAGAATATTTAGCATAATTTAACATCTGCTCTATATATTGATGTAGAATCAGGGTTCTGTCCAGGCCGAATTTACTACCGTTTAGCGATACCTTCACAAATTCAATTTTAGGTAAAACGGTAGTTTCACAAATTCAACTTTAGGAAAAACTGTAGTTTCACAAAATACTTTTTCTTAAAATTTTATTTTTGTATCCCTTAAGAAATGATAAATCTATATTTTTACCATGTTTTTGTTTTGATTTTTTAATATAATTTTTAATTTTTCACAAATTATGTCTAAATTTTCACAAAATAGGTACCTTTCAGAAAAACCTAGACAGACCCCTGAGAGGATTTTTCACTTCATGAATTAGTACTGATTTAAGTAATCACTTCATGGCATGCTCAATTTGCAACAAATCGTTCATAAAAATCCACCTTCAGTTTATATAAATTTTTGACAGATATTGCCGCAAATTTTCTCATGTTTTTTTATTTTTAATGTCTGATATTTTTCATATACAACAAATTGGAGTCGTGCATTTGATAATTAAATTTTTGATGTGATGATTTCCCAATTTTACAATCTATTTTTCGGTATTGCCATTGATTTGCGCATGGTTTTTTAAATTCTAATATATTTCTTACGATATTATTATGTAGGGATGTAAAGAACAGTAATTTGGCTGAATACCGAATATTCGGCCAAATGAGTCGCCCGAATACCAAATATTCGGGGGTTGCATAGTAACGTTTGAAAAAAAGAAAAAAATCATTCATATATATTATTCTTTTTAAATGTAAAAATAATCGAAACTTGGATATATTATTGGAATGGGGTAAAGGGAAGAAAAACTAACAGTTATCCGTTAGAAATGTTTAAGATAAATGAAAAATCTGTTCAACTATTTAAAAAAAAAAAAAAAAAAACTAAAGTTGTAAAAAAAAATAAAGAGAATAAAAAAGAAGGTCTCATTAGATATTAAAATGAAACTTTGATGCTGAATATAGTATTTTCTGGAAAAAGTATCCATAAAATGTTAAAAGAAAGCAGTCTATCAGAAGCGTTTTTAAAAAAGCTGCACTATTAAAAAAGCACCCATAGAAAAGTTTTACAAAAGCAAAACAGAAAAAATAAAATAATAAATTTTTTAAAAGAAAATCTTAAAGCAGTGAGCTTTTCAGTTTCCCAATTACTGTATTTTTAAAAAAAGTGAAGAGTAAAGTCTAAAAGAAGTCCTCTTAATTGCAGTGTCATAATAAAAACAAAAGTTTTTTAAAAAAGAAAAATTTAGATAGAAACCAAAATGAAAATCATCGTTAATTTTTAACTTTTTCACATGGTCATATTTTTTTAAAAAAGTAACGACAAAAGAATAATGTTAATTCGAAATTCCCTTTAAGTGCTGTTTCATAATAAAAACGTTGATAAAAAGAAAAGTTAGCTACTAACTACTAAGCAGAAAAGGAACAGAAAGAAATTTCTTAGTTCTTAAAATTTAACTTAATGTTTAAAATCACAGTTTTCTATGTTACCGAGTCTTATAGAGTACCGAGTCTTTGTACCTATACAAAGTGCAAATAAAAACGGACCACCCTGAATAACTTTTGATATGATGATCGCATCTTCATTCTCGAGAACTTAATTCCTGTAGTCGGTGACCTCAAATATGCTTATTAATAAGTGCAGATGATATTTTAAATTACGAAATTACAAGTAAGCATGTTTTCTCTGAATAAACTTGCCTTTTTTTCTGAGAATTCGGATTTCTGACACCCAACATATGGGGGGAGGGGGGCGCAATCTGGGAAATATGGTTCCAATAGTTTGGTCAGAAGAGCCTTCTGAAAATTGGACCCCTTCATGTTAACTTTGTGAACTAAAACTTTGTTAACTAAAGTGAATTGAAAAATGTTTACACACAATCATGAAATTCCTTTATCCGAAGATAATTCAATGCAAAAAAATAACTTTTAATAAATAGTTGTTATTTTTTATTGTTTTATTTAAGAATGGTCAAAAAATTTTTGAATTGTAAGGTATGCCATTTTTTGCATAATTTTAAGGAATGTAATTTTATATGTCAAAAGACGAAATTTGAGCAAAATTTCTCAAATAGTTCCTGTGAAATTGAATTTCAGAAAACTCAGGTACTTAAAATTCGATTTCTCCAGAACTATTTGACCAATTTGGCTCAAATGTTGAAAATAAAATTACATTATTAAATGTTTGCCATATAAAATTATATTCCTTAAAATGATGTAAAAAATTTTATACCTTACAATTCTAAATATTTTGAACTTATATGAAATAAAATAATAAACATTTATTAAAAATTATTTTTTGCATAGAATTATCTTTGGATAAATGAATTTTATAATTGCGTGTAAAAAGTTTTCAATTTGCTTTTCAAATTTCTAGATATGGCAGAATACGCAAAAAGTAAAATTAACAAAGGGGTTTAAACTTTGGACTGCTCTCCTGGCCGAACTATCGGGACCCTATTTTCCAGATTGCGGCTGCCTCTTATATTTTGGAGGTCAGAAATGCGACTCCGTCAAAAAAAATATATGTTTATTCAGGGAAAGTAAATTTTTCTGTCTTATTTCAGAACTTAAAATATTGTTTGCTTTAATTAATTAGCTTATTTGAAGTCGCCGTCTCGAGCCATTAAAATTAAGTCCTAGATCATGAAGATTGGATCATTAGATCAAAAGTTAATCAAGGTGGTCTGTTTATTTTTTCCCGCTCTGCTCATCATAATTTCTGATTCTATAACCTCATCAAGCAATACATTGTTCTCCAGGTCAAAAGACCAGTTGTGGTGGATAACGGTATAGTATACAACAAGTGTTACTCAAAATAAACAAAATACAATTAAAAAAAAAGAAAAGAATATTACTGTATGTAATTAAATAGAAAAAGTCATGAATTCAAATCTGCGAAAGCAATAAGATGCTATTCACAAATTTCAATGCAAAATTTCATAACTAGTCTTTTGACCTGTGTTGACAAGGGTCTGTCTAGGTTTTTCTGAGAGCTACCTATTTAGTAAAAATTTAGTTATAATTTGTGAAAATTAAAAATTATATTAAAAAATCAACAGAAAAATATGGATTAATCGTTTCGTAAGGGATACAAAAGTAAAACTTTAGGAAAAAGTATTTTGTGAATTATCCTAAAGTTGAATTTGTGAAGGTACCGTTAAACCATGGGTCGCCAAACTTTTTTGATCATCGACCCCTACATAATTTTTCGAAATCTCCATCGACCCCCATAAAAGTAATTTTCGGTCAATTAAAATAACTCTATTTTATGAGCTTAAAAATTTATTAAAGTAATAGTACATTGTGTAACAATAGTTTTATGAAAAATATATTAATGTTGAAATTTAAATACCTTAATATTTATTGAATAATAAGTAATTATAAATTAGTAGAAATGATAAGTAAAGCAACTACAGATTTATTGCTTCTTAATCAATGAGATGCGTGTGCAAAATTTGCTTATTGTTAAATTTTTAAAAAGCGTCTTTGCTTCATGATCCGATAATAATTCAGCAAGCTCATCTTGCAGTTTTGTCGCGGGCTGTACTAATCCATAATATTAATGCTTACCTTCTATTTTACATGTATTGATAATTAAAATTGATATCTAAACTAAACGAATGGTTTTATCAAAACAATAACTAATTATTCAAAACTATAAAAGTTTTAATAACGACACTGCAAGTATTCAACACTGTTCACAGTTTGCAAAGATAGCTGAAACTGCGTTTGACATTTGCGTTTGTGACGTCAATGCTCGTCACACGTGACATTTGGACAATCGCACATACGTATATGACTTATAAACCAGAAGTGCAGAGTTCGTGCCACTGCGCTCTGGCACGTAAATACTTGTTTCATCTGAATAAGTACATGTTAATTAATTTATGTTCTATAAAGAAACTGATATCAATTATAAAACTGAAGTCAATTATAAAAAAAATCACGAATTTTACATACTTAATTAGGTATGTGTGATTTGGGTATTAAGAACTGCTTTTTCTTCGACCCCCAATCGACACTTCCGATTCGGATCGACTCCCTGGCTCAGATCGACCCCTCTTTTGTTAAATAGACCCCTGGGGGTCTATATAGCCCACTTTGGCGACCTCTGCGTTAAGCAGTAGTAAATTTGGCCTGGACAGACCTCTTGTTAAAGTCCCTTTCTTTCTCCACTTTAAACAAATTAAATTTCACCAATCTTAAAGACCCTATTGCTGATAATATTTGTTGTCAATGTGGTCTTGGGTACATTTGATAAACTAAACGTACCCTTGAACTTCAGTTTGAAAATTATGTCAGAATATTAAACAATCTTCAATTGATTCACTCTGTTGGAATCATAAATTTTCTTCTGCTTCAATACTGCTCTTCCCCTATTGACCTTTATTTCTGGAAATCATTCCTTATTGTGAAAATTTTAATAATTTAGAAGATTTTGTCTAATATTTATATCAACCATTTTAAGATGTTTGGTAATCTAATTTCCTCATCCTGTACTAAACCTGAGAGTTCGCCAATGAATTTTCACCATTCATTATATAATTGGTCAATAATAACATTCTTAGCTTATTGAAATATCTACATTGTATACAACCCAAAAAGCTGTCGTTTTTTGAAGTTTATAGCTAGTTATATTGCATATGTAGACATCTCTTTAATATTTCTCAACTTATTCTATTGAAATGTTAATTTACTAATGGTTTTTGTATTTGGTGTAGCCTTTAGCTCAGCATTATGGTTTGACACCGACCAACCAAGGGAAGATGCCAGAAAGTGCCTGGAAGTTCTTTTATTACCTCAGTGCCTGGTGTTATACCTCTTACGTAGTGATTCTGAGTGGTGATTACAAGTTCTTCCAAAAGCCCAGCACTGTGTGGGACGGTAAGAGTACCTTTCTATGCAATTTTTGTTGCGTCTGTTCTCTTCCAATGACACCACTCAGGCTATCAGTGGCCCATTAAGAACCTGATTGTTTGCAAGGTATAAACGTTGAATTGAAAATAAATTTTTTTTCTTTGTTTCATGCTTATAATTTATTTCTTGAATATAAAAAGAAAATGTATGTTTACAATTCTTTTTTATTAGAAATAGTTTTTGAACTTGCTGAATTTCAGTTATTTCATTCTGAAGTAGAGAGTGAAAATTTCTGTGTAGAAGCATTCAGGACAAGGATGAAAACAAATAATAAACTAATTTTCTAACATGTTAGTTATAGTAACTGGTTCTTAATATGAAAGGGCTTCCACAAGACAAAGAAATGTATGTACAAAATATCTTACCCTAAATCACGAGGACAGATTTTCGCTCCCATGTTATAAAATATACAATGACCTGTTCCGAAAAAAAAACATACCATGTAGAAAAGATATTAGGTTGCCATGAGACCCTTCGCTGAACCTACTCCTACAGAGAAAGGGCCTGTGCCTTTGGGCACCTCACCAGTACTCGGAAGAGAATGCAAGACCTCAAGCTTTACTGACATTCATCATGATGTTTGCCTGTCATCTAGTTACCCAGTGAGGGGTATCTAGGGTGTACCACGTGGAGGCGGCAGGCATTACCCTCCCCCCCCACACACTGAAAATATGCATTCAATAGGTGCCGAGCTTGCTGGACAGTCAGCTAACTGAACCATAAAATGGGCAGATTCTTTTGTATTCATTCCCACATGAGTGGGTTTCCATACTCCACCATTTAGAGAAAGTAAAATGTTTCATCACATTTTCGTGAAATAATAGCAGGGTTCCCACAGTCCTTAAAAGTCCTTTCAAACTGCTAAATTTTTATTTTGGCCCTAAAAATACTTAATTTTGGTATAAGTACAAGGCTTTTAAAAGTCCCTAATTTTTCAGCATCTCTATAGTTGGTAAGAACAATTTTTTAAAACAAAAAATCTTTTTTTAATCACCTAGAATTTCACCCTGTATACAGGGTAGAGTACCAAGCATGCTTGAGAACTAAACACTGGGGGTTTCATGTTCGGCTGACCACCTAACCGGAACATCTGCTCCTGCACCCCAGAGCCCAAGGTCAAGAAAACTGAGATGGGCACAGTAGGCCTTGGCCCTCTATGGGCTGTCGCGCCGCTGAGTTTAGTTTATACAGGGTAGAGCATTTTAGAGGGGTGTGTGAGAGGGGGCCAATGGCAAGAGGAATAAAGCATGTCCTTTTATTGATATGTTGGTTCTTTCATTAATATATAGTAATTAATTAATAATATAGTAATTTTAAAAACTTTGTGGAATTCAGTAGCACTAACAACAGAAAGTCGAAACATTGATGAAATCGTCACATTAGAAGTAAATAACTAATTTGAGTTTCACGTATAATTAAATTGTAGTATAAAAAACATTATGATTTTTTTTTAAATGAAAAAATTCGTAGCTATAACTGTCGAAAGAACAATTGAAATACCGCATGGATTAGCAAGGATATCTGTGCAAAACCATTCTAAACCCAGTCGTTATAAAAATTATTTGTTCTTAAATAAGAAGCTAAAAATCGCGAGCATTTCTATTCGTTCCAATGCGCATGAAAGGAATCTTTTGAAAAATGAAGTAAAGTTTTTTTTTATATAATATATGTTATATATAATAATCCTGAAGAAAAAAAAATAGTTTGGGAACCTCAGCAGAAAAGAAGTTCATTTTTCTTTCTTTTTCATTATTCCCAAATAAGAATAGAAAAATCATGAGCATTTCTTTCCACTCTGATGTGCAAAAAAGGCATCTTTTGCATATAATTATGGAGAAAAAATTTTTAAAAATTTCTACAGAAAAGAAAACTAAAAATTTTTTACTTCCGAAAAGAAAATTCTTCTTGCAAGAACTTTGTTACCTTTCACGACAATGTTGCTGTGATTCTGCTATGGGAGCAGGTGCTGTAGGCTAAAGGTTAATTCNATAATATATATTTATGTATATATATTTTTATGTATATATATATTTATACATATATATTTATATACAGTACAGAACCCGTTATCAGAAAACCAAAAAACCAGAACGGAATTCGATACATTTTCCCACAATTTTTTTTAAAAAATGTTCTTTTTCCTCATAAGATTTTTGGATCTTTTTTTTTTTTTTTGCAAGATGTTCACCTTACCATCATTTTGGAAATAATCATTAGTGTATTATTTCGTTTTTTCTTCTTTTTAAGATCATTTCCCCAAATTTTTTTTTTTTAGTTGGGTTTAACACTAAAAAAACGGCTTTTTGTAGCGATTCAGAAAACCGGATAAATCAGTTATCTGGAATAGCGATGGTCCCGATCGTTCCGGATAATCGGTTCCCTACTGTGTGTGTATATATATATATATGTGGGATTCCAACCTCAGCTGTAGCAGCTCCACCCCTCTTATTACACTCTTCTGTCCAAATGCTCAGACAGAGTGGTTGTTTTCTATATCTCTCATTATTTTTTAATTAAATTTGTTTGTTACAAAAAGCATAGTCATGCTTATGATTCATCTTATGCCTAACGCCAACCTCCACATGGGAACTCTGACCGTGAACTTTGTTTTGTGAAAGATAATTAACACAGACGGTGTTTTATTAAGTAACAAAACAGATTGAGCACAGACGGTGTTTACCAAACTTACCAGATTGGTAAGTACAGCTTTCGATTTGAACTGTCTATCTTGAACTGTATTAATTATTATACAATGACATCTCTTAACGAGATTGAGTCAATTGCAAATTTCCTAAGAACAGGCAATATAAAAACTGTGAAATTGCTGAATAGAATAATATTTAACAATGCGTTTGATTGTAACTCACGAAAGAATTTGCGATCCTTTTCTTCTTTTCCCCCTGACGTAAACATTGAAGAAAGAAAAAAGTTAATAGCTGATTTTTCAGAAAACTAATTAATATGTGTGTTAAATTTGGACGTTGAAGGAAAAAAGCTTGAATTAATTGATAGCATTTATCAATCGCTTATGATCTTAAAAGCATTAAATCTTTTAATACACAATTGAGTGAAGAAGCTGAATTCGAAAGTGAAACTGGAGTACATGACCTTGAAGCTGCACCCAAATTCTTATCCGGCAGTAACAAAACAAAGAATGAAGAATTTGATTCTTTGCATTACTTTCTTTTAAGAGAAATATTAACTTCAATGAAACATTTCAATGCTGGTGATTCATATGGGATACATTTGTTTTTTAACGATGTTGAGGACGTGTTTAATTTTATTCCACATTTAAGTGATATACAGAAAATAATATTTTGTAAAACTTTACTTGACGATCAAGCAAAAACTTTTATTTTTACCCAACGTAATTTAAAATCGTGGTTATTGTTTGAAAATGCTTTATTAAATGAATTTAACAACCAATTAAATACTGCCGAAATTCATCGTCAATTAAGTAATTGCAAAAAAAAAATTCTTTTATGGAATATTTTTTTGCTGTACGGGAACTCAAACCCAATAAACAATTTTTCTTTTTCTGATTATACTATTGACTGTATTCCCGATTCCCTCGCTAATAAATCCATTTTGTATGGCGCGAAATCTATTCCTGAATTTAAGGATAAATTGTGTATTTATGAAGAAATAGTTAATGATAGAAGCAAAAAATATTTTTCCGTACAAATCCTTGCTCTCCCCCTGAATTTCCCAAACGTGAGCGTAGTAATTTAGTACGTGACAATTTACGAGGATATGATTTTCAAAATGATATTAAGTTTCATAAACAGAAAACTTGTTATAATTGTGGTGTGACTGGACATAATTTACGTTTTTGTACTAATAAACAACGAGGTTTGAAATGTAATTTATGTAAGAAAGTTGGACATATTGCTTCTAAGTGTAATAATAAATCTATTAACCAAACTGATAACACTGTAAGCGCAGAGTGGTTGTTTTCTATATCTCTTGTTATTTTCTAATTAAATTTGTTTGTTACAAAAAGTGTAGTCATGCTTATGATTCATCTTATACCTAACGCCAACCTAACATAAAACTGATAATGTAAATCATACTACATTTAATGCTCTTATTGATACTGGAACTATGAAAACAATTTTGCGGGAACAAACTTATCATAAAATAGGCTCACCTCCTTTAACTTCTCTTTATGGTGCACTAGCAGCGTTTGGTAACAGACCTATTAAACCAATAGGTAGTTGTACTCATGAATTTGTAATAGATGATCAAGAATTTAAAACAATTCAAACAAATTTTTGTATAGTTAGAGATATTATGTCATAATATGCTATAATTGGCATGGATATTTTAACACAGGCAGAAATAAAAATTAATACTGCTGGTATAAGTTTAACGAAGATAGTAGAACGGAACCCGTTGAGCAATTTTCTATTTCAAATATTTCCATTAAAAATGATTTCAAATTAGAAATTGGATCTAAACACAAAAAAGAACTCTTCAAAATTTGGTGTCAAATTATAAACGTATCAAAACTATAACTTGCGATATTCAAATGTCTATAAATTTAAAAAATGAACTGCCAATAACTCATAGACCATGTCGATTACCTTTTACAGAACGTAAAATTGTTGATGACCAAGTGACAAAATGGTTGACTGACGGTATAGTTGAATCATGTTTTTCCGAATATTCTAGTCAGGTTGTAGTGGTAAGAAAGAAAGACGGAACCCCAAGAGTTTGTATTGATTGTAGAACGTTAAATAAAAATGTAGTTAAAGATAATTACCCTTTACCACTTATTGACGATATATTAGAAAATCTTCAAGGAACAACTACGTTTAGTAAAATTGATTTACGTAATGCATTTTTTTCATCTGGAGATTGAGCCGAAAAGTCGTAAATATACGTCTTTCGTCACTCATAGTGGTCAATTTCAATTTTAACATGCACCATTTGGCCTTTGCAAATCACCCGCAGCTTTTCAGCTT